ACTACTGCACCTGCAAGTTACCAGCCAGCATGTTTTACAACCTACCAGATAAGGCCTTGCCTGGTTTTCTGCCAGAATGTCAATGTTTTTTCAACGTAACTTCAGGTGATGAGAGAATATATTTTTCTTCTCAAAAGGTCTTCCTGTAGTTTTGTAACTAAAAAGCATGTGTCTCCATAGTAACCATTTTCTTCCATAAGGGCATAGCATGTGCTATGTAAGTCAGTAAGTTTAAAAAAGTCATTAAACAAGTATTTCAAACACATTACATTTTCATAAATACATTTCTGTTTATTAATCACTACTGATAATTATCCTTGGTCAGGTTTGACCTTTTTTCATCCTTCATATATGCTTTGATAAGATGTGTAACAAAAAAAAAAAAACTACAACAGATCACATGCTTGGACCAACATGTGAGGATAAAATGAGATTAAGCCACATCACTAGAGAAGCATATTGATAGTGAACTTTACACAGGTGGCTTAAAAAAAACTATACTGTTAACATTTTACTCAGTCTTTAAATTAATCTTTATTTCTCCTTGAAAAGCACCTACTTCAATAATCATAATGTTTTTCTGCTTAGTGTAGGAAGTGTCTTCAAACCTAAAGGAACAATGCAACTTTTGTTTCTTCTTCAAATACCTACTGCTACAGGAACTTGCCTTATGAATTCAAATGAGGATATCACCTTTTCCCAAAAGCAAATGGAAGTAGAAGGCATTTAAATTAAGTCAGTGAATGAGCAAAGTGGTCAGAGGCCAAAACCATACCTCATTCACTAATACACATGCCAGGATCAGAGATTCAGTCCCACATCCTCACTACCACACTACTAAAGGAGTTGCTCTTCATAAACAAATTTCTAATGCCACTCTTGAGATGCGACAAATCTGCTTTCTGATGTATCTGAAGCATTACTTTTAATTTTCACATGGTGGACAAATAAACAGCTTGCCAGAGTTCACATAGCAAGGATGGGAAAAAGTTACCCAGTCTTTCTAAAAAATAAAAAAAAAAATACAGCTGATTGAAACACCCATTCAAACATATTCTGAAAGACAGAGATGTTATCTTAGAGGTACTGTTAAAAGCAGGGACAAGTTTTCATGGCTTCTTCAAAGACAAAACTAATTTACATCAAAGGACTGACTGAGTTCATGACCTCCAGATGAAAAAGCATGTGCTTCTGCTCAGTGAGAGTGCAATGAAAACATTTTCAGTGGTAAGAATCTGGACTATCTGTATCACTTTCTGCAAGCAAAATGCAGAATCTCACTTTGTAAAATCCTCCTTGTAATGCCAGTAAGAAGGCAGTCTGTTCCGGTTCCTAAAATGAAGGGCAACCAATCTGATTGCCTCTGGAATGATGAGACACACAGCAGTTGCTACTTTTTTCTGCATATAGGCATAAAGAAACGACAGTTTGAATAACAGGAGCTAAAATTCACTATCTTCTCTTGTAAGTTACTTTTGGCTATGCTAATTGCCCATTTTAAGCACTTAAGTTTGTAGTCTCTCCCAGGATAGGAAGCAATAACTATTAAAAAGATCGAAATTTTCATGTCCGAGACATACCATGTCACTACAGCAGGGGGAATGGTCTGTGGCCCTGACACTGCAGGACCAAGGAGTTCACAACCTTTTCACACCATTTCAAGCTCAACACCAGCCTGACATGTTTGGCATCTACAAGTGACAATTTGCCGTAAAAGACGCATTTAAACTATGGCTGGTTTACAAGGCTGTATTCATGAAACTGTGCCTGTACACTTGATCCACCTTTTCATAATTTCACAAATATTTGATTTCTACTGACACAAATTATAAAAATTACTTTATTCTGTAATCATACTAAATCAGTAGTCCAGCTGTTTCCAACAGTTACTCTGTCTAATCAGGTATTACCCAAGACCAAAGTACCTATGATTGAAACTAAAAATTACAAATTATGCTCCTATGATGTAAAGTTATCCTGCTTCTTCACACCTCCCCTCCATAGATGCCATCCATGACACTCAGATGTATAGTTTATTTTAGCCTCAAAGAATAACACCACATGTTTCAATAGCAACTAGTAAGACAGCAAGTTATCCTTTTTCTCCCCTTCTCCACGCTTTTTTTTTTCAGGAATATCTACCTATGCTACTATCCACTGAACAAGTTAGTGCAAGTATTCATAATTAAATCCACAAGAAACACTTTGGAATTCATCTGAGCAAAGTAGCTTGAATTCATAGACATGAGCTTGCGCACAGAACAGCTAGGGTTGTGCACATTCGTTATTTTTGCATTTACAAGTATATGCACACTAAGATTTGACTTCATTTTCCTTTGAAGGAAGTACGAAATGACACATTTTAGGACAGAATTTAGTCTGTACAAAGAGTTTCTCATATAAGACAGTTAGTAAAGAGCCAGCAGACGATGTCGAGCTGCCAATATTCTTAACATTTCTAACAATATTCAGCTTACAAAGTAAAATTAAATACCTTTCACAAGATTTACTCTGTCAGCAGTCCAAGCGAGAGAAAAATCAAAAATCAATGTACATAATATTTCTACTGAAGAACTAAGTTTGGAGTTTTAGGTTGGCAAAACTGAGAAAAATACCAGTAAAGGAATACACAGCAATTCCATGAAGTCTCTTACATAAAATTTATGAGGATTGAGGAATGAGAATCATTTCCTTCACTGTATTTCCCTATGTTCAAGAGAGCAGTAAAGAATTCCTCTAAAGGCTCAGTGACATATGGAAACTGCTTCTATAACAGCCATAGATTCAGTTTTCAACTTCATAAAAATGAATTTAAGATAACTTCACTTTAAGGTGAATACACTTTGAGCACCAAGTACTGTTTCTTTCCTTTTTCAAAGGCATAAAGCTCTTCAGTGAAATGATACCATGTGTTAATGTGAGATTTAATATATCTCAAAAAAGGGTGTTACAAATTATTAATGCATTCCAAGAACATATGCCAACAGGATGGTACTATGTCAGTATGAAACAAAAATATTATTAAGATAAATAATAGTTCTCATTGCAGCCTTCTGCTACAGCTATTACAAGAGCAATGAAAATTCTCTTTTTGTAACTGCTCAAACTCTGCTAGTTTTGTATCCCTGTAGATCTACCACCCTTCCTTTTAGCAACTATCAAAATTGTCTTTCAATGGAGAACATTCTTGCATTGGAAAGATTAGGACAAGCAAAGTGAGGGCTTGCCCTGACTTTTTTTACAGGTTTCCTGCATGACTTCATGTGAGGTCATGAACATACCTGTTCTACAGGAACCCCCTCGGTAAATAAAATAGCCACATGTTGCATACTGGGGTTGCGCATGTCTATATTCATTTCTGCCAAGTACACTGAAACTTTTTGGAAATCATTAGACAATCATTAAACGTTGCTTTGCTACTTAAACAAAAAGCTAACTATTTTGAAATAGAATTTGATAAACTCTGCTATCTGCATAGGTAAAAGAATCCTATAGCAACTGGGCACCTCCCAGAGAACGCCCATTGTAGCAGGATGGCAGTATCTACCAACACAAATAAATCAAGTAGATATAAGTATTTGCACTCCTTGCTCTCCTCCTCTGACTTTTTCAGCTTCTAATTGGTAGAAGCTGAAAACGCACATGGATGTTAGCGTGCTTTACAGAAGCCACATCTAGCAAAGATTCAACCCTTGTGCCTGCTACATACTTCAGTTTTCATGACTCATCTCCAGCTTCCTAGAGGAAAATAAGTTCTACTGGGCAATATACAGTTAGAAATACCTTTTACATGCTCACAATAAAAACTGTGAGGGATACAGCCTAAAAGAATTCACCAATCTTAAAGCAGTGACTAAGACTACACACAGATATAACTGTAATGGGAAATTAGTGCAGAACAGCAGTGCCATATTCTACTTTACAGGTAAAAGATCCACGTAAGCCTGTTAAGACTGATTTCAAATCATTAGTTTATATACAAACACAGGGCTGTAGGAACTGCACAGTTCAGAACATCCAGCCTTCCACAACTGCAGGCAAGTATGTAAGTTATATGCATGCAAGACCTACAATATCCTACCTGTCCTATGTGCCCTATAATATGTATTTAATGTCTGTAGGTTAAAAAGGCCAAGAATATCCTAAAACAAACAAACAAAAAAACCCCACAAACACCAAAACAAAGAGTTAAAATGCAGCACAAGCAGCTAGCCAGGAAGCTCAAGTGCATTATCAACATCCCTACCCCAAAAGAGAAACTGTTAAGCATTCAGGATGCACTGTGAGTACATTTACTGCTATCAGAGAAGGTAACGCACTGCAAGTGCCATGACTGGCAACATGACTTGGGACACAATTTCCTGCTAATGATAACTCTCACAATTAGTGAGCACTCAGGCAAAACACACACCCACCAGCAATATGAGAAGTTTTTCAATATCACCAGTAACATCATCTCAACCTTGCCAAAGCCCCGTCTTTGCCTGCAGCCTATAGAGAGCATTTCAGAATGAGACACAAACCACAAAGACTCCAATGGTACAATGGGTGAGAGGACCTTCCTGACCCCAGAGGTGACCAGGGGAAACCCCAAAGCCTAATCTTGAAGGGAATCCAAACATAGTACAATCCAACACATAGTATTTTTTCCAGTTCCTTCAAAAGCAACACAGCTGTAAAATAGTTTTGAACAATTACCCTCATCTCAGCAGAATATAAGGTTACATTATCACAACTTCAGGTTTACCTATTCCATTTTCTCACTACATCCTTCAATTCTTCTTCTAGACATATAGTTAAGCACAATGTATCATCCCCAAAGCCACCTATACTACAGTCCTCTCCCTTTCTCTATTGATGGGGTGATTCTTCATAGCAAGAAGCTTCTTAATGCAGGTTCTTTCATCGTGTCCTCTCTAGGCTGAAACAGGCTCCACATCAATTTAACTTCTGCTTTCCTATAAGGAGGGCACCACATCCGTGATACAAGACTAACTTACAGTGACTGGGTAGTCTCTCAGTGCCAACTATGAATCCAAATCTCCTCTTCTTTTACAGCAGCAAAAGTCTGAGCAATTCCTTTAGGCAAGAACTGGTAAGCTCTAATGAGTCTGGTGTTAGATCTGAAAAACAAACAAAAAATCAGATGAGAAATAAAACTTCCTGCTGCATTGTCTTTCCATACCTGGGAAGCACGAGGGAGATAAGGAGTGTGACATATGAATATCCCCCCAATATTTCCCTAAAATACAGTATCTACAGCTACATCTTCCTCTCCTGAAAGATATGTATTAGAAGTTCAGGTTGCAACATTCTCCTATATAACTAAGCAACTAAGTTCTAGTATTCTAAGACACTAACAGAGCAATGCATTTCATAACAGAAATCTTTCTTGCCCCAAGGATCTGGAATTGTGTGCAACTCTACTGAGGGTGTAG